GATGACAGTATTTATGTTCATGTAGACAACATAGACATCTTTACTAGAGCAATCAATCACAAGCATAAGTAATGGGTTTTACATAGCTCTGGTTACATTTAAGAGACGACGAGTTCACAATCTCCACTCTGTTATTTCTTGTGAGAGAAATAACTATTTTCCCCAACTACCAGCTTGAAAAGAGATTCAGATCAGTAGTGCTGCAGAATAACACGATCAACCAAGCAGAATAACTCATTTTAAAATAAATTTTAAATGAAGAAAATACGCAGCTCAGCATGAAGCTTTTGAAGTTGAAACACTACAGCCTAGAACCATGAATTTCACACTCTCAGGGAACAAAGAAACACATAAAGATGGGAATTAATTTTTGTGACAAACACAATCCAAAGGGAGTCACAGCTCCTATAACCTTTTGCTGCTATTTTTACCAGTACTCAGCATCTCTGACATGTAACTCAGTGAAGCCCTCAATAAGGGCATCTAACAAACCTGTGGGGATGCTTCCAAGCAGGATTCTCACGAATCTCTTGGCTGGTCTCCCCCGGTACTGCAGGCAGCTGTGGCTTTGGCTGCTGCATTCATTCCTGGCAATCCTCTTTCTTACCAAGGTTCCTCCCTCTGACAGAAATCAGTCAATCCATTTTACTTTATTTTTTAAGATTCTATTTGCCATTCCTGGAGGAAAATGAATTTTACCGTTGGACGCTTCAGGCTCATCTAATTATGATACCAGCCTCCAGGGAATTTTTAAACTAATGACAATGTATTTGTCAAGCACAGAAACTTTTAATCTGATTTTCAAGTGGATCCTAGCCAATGGATTCTGGCCATCACAGCACTTAACAAAACGCATCTGACTGTCTTCCATGCAATATTTAGGTGGGCTCATTACGTAAACTTTAATTGTTGCCTCACATCTTTCTCTGGTGGTCAATAAGAGGTGCAAAAGCACACCAACAGTATTATTAAACTTCTTATGACTACAAGTCTGAAATCCAAGAATATATGTGTACGTGAAACTTCTCAGAGAAACAGAGGCATGCACCTTATGAAATTGAAACCAGAAAATCTAAACTATCCAACTAACTCCATAGGTTTTCTGCTCATCTCCTGATTTGCTGTATGGCAGCACAAACAAACATGAGCTCAACAACAGTTTCAACATTCTGTTCTTCATTTACAAGGGCTTTTTCAGATGATTTCCAACGTTAATACAAAGAACAAAAATCCAAGCTACTAATTATAACACAATGACTTACTACACTGCCCCCTCCATCCACCAAGCCAACCACTCAGACCACCAAACCTCCATCTTTTGGTATTTTCTCAATAATTCTAACAGACAAAGTGCACTATTTTCACCACTAACTTAGGCTTAACTACACTGGTCAGGTTCTTTGGACAAAGAATGCACAATTCACAGGGTTCACATCCCAATTGCAAATTAATTTCAATTATTAGAGCCCACTTCAAACATAATAATAATTTTTAAAAGCTGCAACACAGAACTGTAAATGTAACATGACACAAATCATTAGGATAGTAATCATAACCATCTACATCCAAATTGGATTTAACCATTATGGCTTAAATTTTCTCCCCAGTACGCTAGTCTACCATGGGAAAAATCAATGTCTCTCCCCAAGTACAACAGAAAGATATGAAGACAATAACTAGCCATTTGCCTGGGAATCTAAATTGATGTATCCTGTCTGGGGAACTTCAAAGCCTAATTTCAACATTATCAAAACAAATAACAGGATTCCAAAACACTGGAGGGAATGACTGAAACACATCCATGGAATGTTTGGACATTGTGCTGAGGGACGTGGTTTAGTGAGAACTATTGGTGATGGGTGGATGGAATGGATGCCTTGTAGGTCTTCTCCAACCTTGGTGTTTCTGTGATTCTGTGTACATTTGTGGCACAAGTGACTACATCTCAAATTAAGAATCCAGAATTCACAACCCCACTGCAGACCTCAACAGGAAGTTTTACCAAGATGCTCAGAAAAGAGCATGCAACTGTGCTACCCTCAACATATCACCTGTATGCTTCTAATACATGTGATTCTTTTCAAGTGTTACTTAAACTCTTCTATGAGTACAACAACATTTTAGTAGACCCAATTTCAATTTAAAGACAACAATTTAGAGACCCAACTTCATTTAAAACTGGATTTCTACAAAAAGAAGTTAGCAGTCCAGACACCTTTCAGTCTCCATACCCAAATCACAATCACCCAGCGCTCTAGATATCAAAAACCATCATTGCCAAGGGTGGTAGAACACCTGAGGACAAGGCACAGTGATCTCAACCCACACAGAGGTGCCCCAGCAGCATTTGTCCATGCTACATGAAGCTTTATCACTGCTTTTATTCTAACAGCTGCAGAAACAGGCATTTTCAACCTTTTCCTTAACATCACTGACCTTCCAACTATCCACAAACAAGATGCCACAGTGGAACATCACAGAGACCTCCTGTCACTTTCTGTATAAAACGCATCCTATGTACTCAATATCAGCAGAAAGGAGCTAGAACCTTCCTGAAGACACTAAACTCAAATATCCATTTGTAACAAGAATAGCTGATCACATTGTTCTCAGCCTGCAAGAGCCCAGGTATGGTTAGACAAATACTTCGGATCATTAGCATCAGAGTGCCAACATACAGGCTTACAGCTACACAAGAGTACATGTCTCCTTTTAGGCAGGAGGAGGACTTTTACAAAATAAATGTTCAATTCACTTACCCACCAGCCTTCTTTGAAAAACCATATAACAACACATGTCTATTTATCCGTATTTCCACTTCCATTGTGGGGCCACAAAATTAATGCTCTTCCTGACAGCAACTCTGCTCCAGCCTCTTTACCTTCAGAACATCACTGGAAGATCAGCAGTGGGCAGTATGAAAACAGAGACTGAGCATATGCACGATGGCAGCAGGACACCAACAACATCACCCTATACTGTGAAAAGCAGCACAGCTGGCTGTGTTCTTGAATGTAGGGTTTGAGCATACTAATTAATTTTAAGCACGTATTTACATCTCATTACAGTGAGTAAGAAATGCTACACGAACAGGTATTTTGTCACTGTCTCCTTACGTTAGTATCCAGTAATCAATGGAACAGAACCTACACCCTAAGCATCCTGTTTCTGTCTGAAGTTTTTGAAAAAATAAAAAAAAAAATCCTGTTGAACTAAAAAAAAAAAAAATTATACTTCATAATTCAATAATACAGTAAGCTCATTCAGTCCCATACTCAGAAAGCCCCCTCCTATTTTGTGGTGCACTGGAGCTTTAGTTGCAGTTTAAAGCATATTGGCACGTAAAAAACAAAAACAAAAACATACTCTGGTTAATTTTTTCAGTTACACAGTATAAAGCGGGCAAATAAAATTTTATTCCACTTCTTCTCGGGGAATTTGACAAAACAGTATATTGTTCTGGCTGGCAGCCACTATTAACATCACAAGGTTCCTTAAAGGCACAACACCGTGAATTTAACAGGTTTGAAAAAGCACAAGTGTAAAACAGAGCGTTGCCAAACTGACCTTAAAACCAAACAGCGAGATAAAGTAAGTGTTTGAGGAAGGCAGAGGGTCATTGTGGAGAAAGGTAGGTGCATCGAGACAAACCAGTTCTACAGAGCCTGCAAGACTGGCAGCAATGCTCAAACCTGCATCTGGTGCAGTGAGGCTGTTTGTAAAGCCAGGTGAGCAGCGACTGAATGCTTCTCAGCTACAGCTCTGGGAAGTTGAACTGCTTCCATGCACAGAGCTACAAATGGTCCCCAGACCATTTTTTACATTATATGAACTCCATGCAACCTCAGAGTCCATTTTGAAGCAACATATTTAAATTCCAGCGTAAGATATAAATAAGTAAGACGTATAAATAGGTACACACACACAGAATAGCATCCAGTACCCATTGTGATATCTCCAGCTCTGGTGAAAGCATCTGTATTTTTGAACAGCAGCTATAGAATAGAAAGGAAGCATGAGGTTTGTTCCTTTCATATGCTAATAATGACATCATACCTCGTGGCTGGACGCTGCCACCACACACCTTCCTCACATCATCTTCTTCACCTAGAAAGAAGCCTTTCCCAAAGGAGTGGAAGAACTAGGGAAACTGAGGATGCAGCTCTGGCATTGGTGACATGCAGCACGGTACAGGCCCAGGTGGGATCACAGGTACCAGAGAACCAGCACTGAACACCTCATAAACATTCCAATGCAACGCTGTGTAGTGCAGTGACTTTGCCACTGAGCACCCTCCAAAAATGGAAGGATGCTATAAACGCACTCTGCATGCTCCCGACATCTCTTCAGCAACAAATCACGAAAAATTAAATTATGTAACCCTTATTGTCTGTAGACAACACATGGTGCATATTTTGGCGCCGCACGGCCTCAAAATGATTTTTCAGTTTGTTCTTTTTGCAATACCCTCGAAGGTTAGGAGAAAAAGAACAAACAGCGTGCTAAGAAAAAAAAAAAAAAAACCAAAAAAAAAAAAACATCACCATACGCCAACAAACAATGCAGAAAAAGAGCCAGAGAGGGTGAATAAGCCTGTCTTCCCCTACTGTCGTTGCGCTGTACGTTTTGTACGGGAGAACAGGGAAGAACGGCTACATCCCCTGCTCTGAAATCACCACGCCTCAGACCTGCAGCGCTCCTTCTTCCCCACCGCGGACGCCGCTAAGAACAGCCTTACGCACGCATAAAGACACCGAACAAACGGCGAGGAGAAAACGGGCGACGGAATCCATCGCAGAGCGCCGAGCGCCCGCGGCATCCTCCCCGGGGGGAGCGAGTTACTAAGAGCCGGAGCCGAAAGGCGAGCCCCGCGGGGCCGCGCAGCACCCGGCCGCCCGCTCCTCCCGCCCAGCGGGCACGGAGCGCGCAGGCCGCGAGCCCCGCACCTGCCCGGCCCCGCGGGAAGCCCCGCCGCGGCCCGGCCCCCGGCGCCCACTCACCTCGCCGCGGCTCGCACTGCGGCTCCGCTGCCCGCGCCCCGCGGAAGGAGGGCGGCTCCCGGCGGCGGCCCGAGTCACCCCGTCCTTGCGGCAGGCGGCTCCCGCCCGCGGCGGCGGCCCCTCCGCGCCCACGGCGGGGCCGGCGCCTCCCCGCGCAGGGGCGCGCACCGCCCCCTCGGCGGCGGGGCCGGGACCGGGCCGCCCCTCGCCGGCCTCCGCCTTCGCGCCGGCCCCTTCCCCGCCGTCGCCGGTGGGCGGCCGGGCGGGCCGGGGTCTGCGGCGCGGCGGCGCCCAGCGGGAGCCGCGGCGGTGCCGGAAAGAAACGCCCCGAGGGGCAGCGCTGCAGCTGCTACATTGTTACCGCGATTTACGAGCTGGCGCCGTCAGCACGCCCATTACTTTCTCTCTTCTTCAGTCCTCGTAGAGATATTAGCGCTAACAGTTATCGGGGTCATCGACGCGACCGAGAGCCATCCCTCATCCCCGTTTCCATTTCAATTACCCTGGCTATCTGAAAGCAGTTTGGTGCGACCAGCTCTACGCCTCGCGTTACTCATCTATTTACCGCGTCTTTGACCATCACGGCGACCTCCTGAGCTGACTCCAGCAGGAGAAAGCGGTTACAAAAACGTAACAGGAATGAAAACTTCAGGCACGCACTGTCAGATCCGAGGTGCCGCAAAACACTGCAGAACAGCCCAACAGAACCGTGGCAATGCAGATGACAAGAAACACGGGCACGCACAGACTTAAAGCTCCGTGCCCCGGGTCCTGACACACCTCCCGCTTTTCTCTCTTTGCTCAGTCTCAGGAGAGCAAAATCTTGCCGCAAGCACGGAGCACAGCAGTCGCAACTGCCTTAAGCTACGGCTGTTTTCTTTATCAGATGGCTACCAACCTACTAAACAGCAACTAAACAGGCTGCTTCACAAACTGTTTCTTTAGAATAACCAGCTGGCAACTACATTCATTTATGTCAAAACGCAAAGGTCGTTCTGTACAGCCTGCAGTGTAATCTCAAAGCCAAGGGTTCGAAATCCTTTCCCTATGGAAGCCACGGCATTGTTGTCTAGGGCTTCAGTAGTAGGAAGGAATTTGCTCTTCAGCTCCGCTGTACGATGGGAGACAACTGCTCCAGATACGTGCGTACGCGGCTGCATTCCAAAGTAGGTCAAACGATGAAAGTCGTTAACATTCCTCCATCTATCTGAAGCTTTTACACTTTGTATGTATTACGCACATACCGGTGCTTACAACACCGTTTGCACATGCTTCGAGTGCAAATGATCAGCGCCGCTGATGAGTCTCGCCCAGATTTCCTGGCTTATGAGTACTGCTCTGATGTACCACTGCATAAATCCCTTTAGATTGAAGGCTCAGACGGAATGATCGTTTAAAGGCCAGTTGTGACTTGGTCATTCGCAGACGCATCCCTCTGATCAGCGGTACCCTCACTTGGCATGGACAACACAACACCTATTTTACCGCCCAAAGCAAGACGAAAAGAGAAGAAGTGAAATGTCAAGCATTTCAGAACATTTTTCATTATTTGTGCTTTGTTTTTGCTTATCTTGACATATTTATGATGACGAGAGAGGATGAAGTTAGCTAATGAATTATTCTCAGTGGATCTGCCAGCTGTAAGAGCCATCTGACATGTGACACAAGTGGAGGCTGGCCTTAAGTTAAGACTCTTTATCTGTCAAATTAAAAAATACGGAAATCATCACTGGATTTTCACATTTCTCTCCCTTTGAGAAGGCTTTTGCACCTCTCCTAGAAAAATCCTATTTTCTAGGATTTCTAGTAAAAATGTTGTAAAATGTAGTAAAAATATATGAATCTTTAAAGTCCCCCAGACTTCCAACAAATTGAACAGGTAGCAATTTTACCACAGCAGTGGTAAAACACAAAGGATTTGCAGAATTTCAGCATTACTACAGTTCAGTAACTACAAATGCACCAATTTCTACCTTTCTGGTATTTTCCCACCAACCCCAATGCTACATGCACAGCTCCTTAAGAGCACCTGCCTTTGGTGTGGCTTGGAGCTAGTTTCTATTTTCTCTGTAGCTGAACAGAATTGGGCCCACAGTAGAATATAAAGGCATGTCAGAGACCAATCGCTGTTTCTTTTGTCTTCATGGGTGCTTGGGCATCTACATGCACAATGCTGCTAAGGAATGGGCTAACTTTCAGAGCCATGCACAGAGGAAATGGGTAGCTAACCTTCATCAGGCTCCAAACATGGAGAACAACAGCCGGCTGCTCTGCAGCAAACACATGCTTTTTCCCCTCTTCCTTACCCTCTTGCCTTTTTTATTTTTCCTTATTTGGATTCACTTCCTTTCTCCTTTTCTAAACAGTCAACACAAAAGAAAATAACGTAACAGAAGCTCTAGGAAAACAACTTTGGCCAAGTGGGGGCTCCTACTCTGTTCCCTAGGACTGTAAAACCCTTCTGAAAGAGAGTTTCTGAAAGAGAAGCACAACAAATGGTGGCATACTAGTGGTTCAGAAATATCAGTAGAAAGCTAAGTTCAATGCATTTGAGGCAGAGTTCTTATTGGATGAAAGTTACAAAAGCTATTCTACTCTCACCCACAGACAAGGATTTAAAAATAGCTGAAATTGTACCACAGCACTACAGCTTTCAACAAATATTTGTGCTATTCATTCTTGAAAATGGTTCCACCAGAGAAAAAACAATTTTCATTCACCCCCCAAAATCACTCAGTAAGAGAACTGTGAAATGTTACAAACTCTACGAATCTTTTACCATAAAAATAAGCTACACATCTGCAATTTCTAACTGCTGCCCGTTCAATTCTGCACATAATGAGAATCTACAACATACTCATCAATGCATCCTCTATAAAAAGAGATTTTCAGCTGCTCTAATTTCAGTGACATAACAAAAGAGGACATAATTCAAATGAGTCTTTAGATGACAATATTAAAAAGCAAGATGCACGCTGCCTGGCTGTATTACTTCATTCCTGAAAACAATACCTATGAGACAGGTACTGAAAAAAGCAATACCTAACTTTTCAGCAAACATCAAATAAAGTAAACTATGCACCAGTACTTGCCATCTCCTTTCTCTTCCTGTTGACTCTCACTTGGAGCAAAGGACAAATTGATGGATCATTACCAAAGGTCATCATCTTGCACTGTGATCCTCAGCAGTGCGCACAAAGAGCAAGATCCTTAGAGCAAGTAGCATTTCAGTGCAACGGTTAGAAGCATCTGAAGACCAGAAATGCACATTAAGTAAAGATTTTGCGTTTTTCTAGTCGTTCACCTATGTGAAAGACAATGGGCCAAGCTGAATACACAAAATGAAAGTTTTGTTGCTGAGACCATCAAAAAGACAAGTGAAAAAAGGCTAAAAGGATCAAGTGGAAGAACACTGACATGGGATGGAAATGCAGTGCTGCACAAGACTTCTGAGCAGATCACGGTACAGCAGGTGAAAGCATTAATTGAAAAATCACCACAGATGCCAAAACCTGCAGAATGTATTCTCAGCTTGTCCTGCCTCCTTTGTGCTGCACAAAAGACAGTGAGAGCACAAACCATCTGCAGTCCCCAGCGGGGGATTTTGGTGGTATAAAGGAGTCCCTGAGTGACAGAGGAGTCACACAGCCCATGGGAGGCCACACAGCCCTGCAATCGCAGCAGTGGAACGGGGAGGGCGCAGCACAGAAAAGCATGACTGGATCTGCTGCCCCAGCTGCCTGCAGCTGGTCCACAGGCCCTCGGGGCTGCTACCATCTGCTATCATCTGGTGCCAGGACAGGCACGCATCCAGCCACGGTGTTGAGGGGCTTCATGGCAGCTCTGCACCCTTCTGTGCATGGAGCAAATGGGGCCATCCGGGCTCATCTGGTCACAGTGCTAATCGACAGACCCTAATCTGACAAAACAGCCCTGGATGCAGCTCTGAGCACTTGCCTGAGCTGCCCCTCTGGTATTGAGCCCAGTGTAATATTAGTATATAAAACGAACACGTGGCCAACTTGGAATTTAGAAAAATTTAAGCCATTAATGAGTAGTATATTAATTACAAATATTAAAGCAATCTCCTACCAATAATGTTGCATTAAATTATGGAAACAATTCTTAGGTACAGAAATGAAATTTGTTGCAGTTCCTAATACTCCCAGATCCTGGAACAGATCACAGAGTTGCGGTTAAAGTGATGATAATAAAACTAATTGTGAGCTTCTGTTGGTCCTTGCAGAGATTTAATTTTACAGCTGTACCTTTGGACAAGTAATACAGAATTACATCCACAAACACTGCATCCAAAGTCATACCAAAATGTCACTTGTAAAACACACTTTTAAGATCTTATTATTTGACGTGCCTGCCAAATGTGCGGAGAAAGCCTGCAGTACTGGTAGGCTGTTCCAAGGTAGTACGTTCCAGTACCAATGGATCATGCTTTGGTAAAATGAGGATGCATCCATAACCAAAGGAAATGAACACTTTGTTCTTTCGCAATATTCTCACTGAAGGAAATAAAAGGAGTCTGTGGGGAAACAGTCCAACAACATGCTGAGAAATCAGATGATAGAAAGCTTGTACCGATAGAAAGAATGCATCTAGACACCAGCGAGGCTGAAAAGGGGATCCCAGGACTGTTCGGGAGCCCTGGAGGATTTAACGATTCCTATGGACGGTAGCAGAACAACTTCTGATTTTCTCTTGAGCAGGAAAGGCTCAAGCAGGTGACAGAGAGCTGCCACAGTACTGGTAACACCATGTGCCCCCCTTCACATCAGCCTACACCTCTCTAGACAAATAATGGTTATTTGAATTACACACTTGGCCACTAATTTGACTAGAATCCTCAAACAACCTCTTTAGGAGTTTTACCTTTTCCCACAACAGAGACAGTTACAATGTAGGTGCATCCAGTAAGGAAATAAATCAGACCTGAAGTAAGCAAGCAATTAATTTTCTTTAAATGGCTTAAAACAAGCTGTCTTTTCTTGGGCAACCAAGCAACAGATTACCCTGGTGACATCAATTCCTTCCACATCCTATGTGGGTTTGAACATGAGATTAGCAGAGCTGGAAAATGCCCCTGCAGCTGAGGCAGAA